CATAAAATACTCATTTTGAATTGATGAATTGTAGGCAACTCGTGTGTTCACTTACAACTTTTTTGACTATAATTTTTATTGATCAATGAGATAAACTGGTTTCATACCAAACAGTGCACAATTTATACGTTTAATTTATTAAGCATTATTAAAAATTGTACATTATTTCGTTGTATACCACTGCTCCAGATCTTGTTTACATTGTAAAAAAGGATCTTCAGAATCGGGAAAGCTGTGAACACACAATCGATTTGGATACCGACAAAATTCCCATTGATGAAAAGGGCGAATCTGAAATGTTTGTTTTCAAGTTTATTCCATTTTACTATAGTGATAATTTACTGTTTTATGTATCAGTTTAGAGCAGTTTGCATAATTTATCATAGAAATATCAAATACTTTTTCGTTTTGCCGGGTTTTTGCATTATTCTATATGTTTGTGTGTTTCAGAAAAAGTATCGAAGAAGTAAATTTTCAGCTATCAAATTACCGTTCACAAGCTTTCTCCACTTCTGCTGAGGTTAATCTTTAATATGGAGAGGTTTAAACATTTGCATAAAGATTTTATAAACATCTTATTTTCCCTTTTGCAATGCTTAAAAAATTAACTTCAGAAGAACCCAATCAAAATTTCAGAAAACTGAAACAATAACGGCGTGAGTTCTTGATAACTTCATTTGGCATTTTATATAAAGATTGAACAGTCTTTACCTTCTAAAATCATTCTACTTCAGAGCACACCAGAACAATCTGTGAATCAAGTGACAGCTCTTATTCCACCACGAGAGAATATCGTCGATGCGTCTGTAAATATATCAGAACATGCCAACAAAAAGGTAGATGAAATAATTGGCGAATGCAAAGATTCACAAATTCTTTTGGAAGATAAAGATTTCACATGTGATGGGGATTCAGTCAGTGATGAGTTTAATTGTCATCGAGCAAGATTTGATGAACGTGCTAAAAGTCTCGATGTGAATGGAGGCGGGGGTGGTGTAGAGATGCGGGATTTATCGGGTAAAAAAACTGATATTTCTGGATCATTAATTAAGCAGTTCGAAGACAGGCAGCGAACTCTTTCACTGAATACTGAAGAAAACCTAAGAAATCAGCTAAGGCACCTAGTACTAGGTGTACCCATTCCGGTTAAGGTCGAAACCAAGTTGGAATCGACGGAAAATGATAAGAAGCCGCCGTTTGGTGTGGCTGGCCCTGGAGAGATTCTGATTGAGACGACACTGGTATCAGAACCTACGCCGCTCTTGTATCCGATACCTTCTGTTAATGACTTCGAAAACACTGATATTCCTGAAGAGACAGAATTTCAGCATTTCGATGACGAAACAATGCAAGAATCTGATTTTGCTAAAGAACTGCAAGATGACAAGAAAGTCGATGAGCAGATGGAAAGGGATCTAAATCTGTCGCATGGCATCGATTTCACGTCAGCTAATGAAGTAAGTAACTTTGTTTTCTGCGATGATAATGTATATCCAGCTCCCAGTTTACTAATAAAATACTACAACGGAATAAAGTAAAAGTTATTTGATTCTATTGTGAATTAGCAGGTAAAGGCTAGCTATATTTTAATTCAATACAAATATTTGATGTAAATATAACTTTTTTTGCATATTATTTGATTGTGATTTTTGGCAAAGTTTTGTTTGAGCAAATAGTTATTGCTACAATTTACAAAGTTACTACTGATCAAAATAAAAACGAGTAAGTTATTCATTCATTTGCATAGTTGGCAAATTAATTAAGAATCATCACCATCACCAATGCATTACAGAAGAAAAGTATATTTGCATCAAATTTTTGAAACAAATGAAGATTTTAATGAAGAAAATATTCTTTTCTGCCAGAATGTTAAGTTCCAATAATTAAAGAGCAAATGTATTTTGATATAAAGTTAATGAAATTGATAGTTTTTGATAAGATTTCACTGCTTCCATTGTTATTCCTTATTATAAAGCTACTGAAAAATTTTCAGAATAAAGATGAGTTTAAAAGATCAGTTGAGCCAAACGATACTGAAGTGATGCATCTATCCCATAAGGAGGCACGTCAAACTAAAAGTATACGAGAAGGCGGTAGCAAATTATCTGACGAACCTGGAATTATCGAAGATCAGAATATGGTACCTAAAAAAATGGTAATTAAGGAATTAGAGCAAAAACTTGAAGTTAAGCCTCAGGTTTGCTTTTTGTCTGTTTCTGCTCGTTAAAAATTCTATTTTTATCAACTTTAAATTCTGTCAATCTAAATTCACCATAACTTTATCATTTCCAGCCTAGCTAAATTTGATACATTTCTAGTATTAACGTTTCGAATCCCCAAGCACGCAAATCTTAACTTTCAAGCCAATTTCTTTCACTTATATCACTTTTCATTTTTCTGTGTATGCCATTATCGCTATTTCTTTGTTGTAAATTGTTCAGTGTACAATTTGCATTCATTTTAGCTCTTCTACACGTATCTAAAACCTTTTCTGTTGCTTTGCTGATTAATTATTGTCAAGTTGACTTCAAATATTTTTTTCATTCGAAGTAGCAAATGTGACACTCACAGACTATGCAATTTTCAGCGCTGAAAGCACCAAAATATTTGCAAATTTAATAGGAAATTGGGGAATTTTTTCAATTTTATCGAGAACTTTATGTAAAAAAGTTTTCAGTCTACGGTCAGTGCAAATATCACAGAAAATTTTGAATATTCTGCTAGTTCTTCTTCATCATTTGAGCATTCGCCATTGCCACTACTAAAATACAAATATTTACAAAAGACACCTCAAAAACCATACAAAAATGCACCTCCACCGGTACCACCGAAGAAAAAATCTGTTGAAATGATACTTGCAGAAGAGGCCAAAACTGTCAGACAACGCTTGTTAAGGGTATTTTCAATTTCTATTCTGTAATTTTTTTATTTTTGACACATGTAACCCAAGTTTACTCACATCACATCAGCACTTGCTCATCACTGTCATTTTCTCGAGAGTGGTATTCTGAATGCATGTCGAATCATTTTTGATTTTGCTATGAATTTAAATTATTTCACATCTTTCCAGTCCTTTCTACTTCTTTTCGTACTCATTTGCGCATAATTTCGAGTGAGAAATCCGATTTCAGGCTTAAACTCAAATAAATCTCGCGCATGTTATAGTACTCCTTAATGTGAAAATGAATCCTTATTTAATAACTGCTTTGCTATGCGTGTTTGCTCGTTTTTATTAATGTATGCAAACGCTTGTTTGTTAACTTAACCTAAGAGATCGTAAAATTCTTCTATTATCCCTCACATTCGTCTTTAACAACTTTCCAGTATTTCATATTTACTGCTTCTGTTTCTGTTTCTGTGCAAGTATTTTTCAATTATTAAAATGTTGACATTATAAATTGTCAAAGTTATTCTAATGTACATATTACATAGGAATCGCAAAGACTACATGGTGGAAGTGGGCCTTCACAAGAAGATTTAAGGGAGGAGGAAGTCAAGTTTAAAAGCCAAACAGAATCAAAGTAAGCTACTGAAATTGATTCTTTCAGTAATTTTTGTCTTATTTTCAGCAATATGTTTAGTCTTGAGGCGTTTACAAATGCTTTAATTGGAATTGGACTTTGTGCAAACTTTGATCTTGTTGAATTTTCATTTAATGCTGTCTTGTACTTGTCACTCTTTCTTTGAAGCAGAGACAAGTGTCACATTTATATTTTGAAAAAGAATTAAAATTTTAGATTCGAAGTTTTCTGAAATAAAGTGATAATTAATCAGTTTTCCTCCGCATTATTCACTAAAACATTCATAATACTTTTATTTCAGTATTAAAGAATCAGAAAACAAAGAAGTTTCTGACCTTCCAATTAGTGAACATCGAACTACTCATTCATCAATCGCAGAGTCCGGGAAAGTGGATTCAGTGATGCCAGAAAAGATTCAGACGATAGAAGAGACGGCAGATGTTATCCCAAATGTTATCCCAGTTAGTTTTTTTTTCCTTATAGCCTTTGTCAACTCCTAAAAATTTGCACATCAGAGTATTTTATAAAACAGAGAAAATATAAATAAGCCTTATGAGTAATTATTAATATGTAGTAATTCAGGAGTTATTATCAAATATGAAACTTTGCTAGCCAGCCTTTAACTCATAAACCATTTTAGTGATACACTTATTAATATGCATTATAATTATAAATGAAAAATTTTCAGGAGGATACCAAAGTCGAAAAAAGCAAAACAGACACTTTGAGATCGAAGGCAAATTCCGAAGGGCAGTCAGCGAGAAGACGGTGCTCAATACTTTAAGTTGTTTTCTTTATGGCACAATTATTGTCGACTATTTTATGAATAACTGAAGACAATTTCCTGAATTTCACGTACCATTTCTGTCTCAGTAGTTATTATGACTCAGATCTAATTGCAACCGTGAGTTGTGATTCGGAATGATTATTTTTCGTATATACTTTAGTTTTGATCATTTTAGATGAAGTACAGTTTTTTTAAGATTTTTGTGTTCATATAATACGATGGATTCTTAACCTTTTTAATCAGGTAAGACATTTATAACCTGATAGATAAAACCATAAATATATATTCTTTTTTAACGTAACTGTAATGATTATGTATTTGTTTTAAATTGTTTTCAGTATACAGTGCTATTGAGCGTAATTTTTTTTGTAAAATTGATTTTGCAAGTATTTTTACAGCTTATCACTTGTTTTTTGAGGGGTACGTTGATTTAAGCTCAAAGTGAATAACATTTGAGTTAAAAAACTGGTTCTTAATAGAGCAAGACGGTTTAAAAAGTAAAAGTTACCGCATTTTTGAAATCAAAATTATGATTTTCGCTTAGTATTTTTCATCTTCAACTGAATATTATTTACAGAATTGATCTGGAGAATTACTGATTTGTAATTTTGTTCAAAATTTTGTAGAGATTGAATAATTCTGTGGAACATCATCGTCTGCTAACTGTATCAGATTTAATCATCTAAAACGAAATCAGTATTATCTTCGTTTTGCTTTACATCATATAATCTACTAAGAAGCAAGAATATTCAGAAGTTTGTTTGTGAAATTAATAGGTTAGTATTTGCAGACTCGTCAGGTTTAAACGCATTTAAAGTTACTAACTAGTAAAGTCAAGGTTCAAATAAGCTCTTTGAGTGATGATCGTGATCTAGATTGCAATTCTATTTTCTTAGTTTTTAATTGTTTGGAGAAAGTATATTCGCATTCAAGCAATTTTTGGCACATTTTTGTCTTTGTAAAAATATGCTTTCATTCAAAGTTAAACTTATATGTAAATTTCACTCTGTTCCATGTCTTTTAAATCATAAGACTTTCTAATATTATCAAACATAACCATCTGAAGGATATACTACAGTAGTATACCAAGCATTCTAAAGTTTCGCAAAGTTATGGGTACGTTAGTTTTTGTGTATCTTTCAAAACTGTTCAAACTTTCGCTTCACTAGTCAATAAAAGATCTTAGAATCAGAATTTCTCAGTCTTTGAAATTTGAATTGGCCAGACTATGTCAAGTTGAGAAGATTTTATGAGCAAGTGTCTTCACATTGTCGTTTCAAGTAAGAGCAATTTGCATTACCACAGCCACTGAAACTAATCTCATTCATAATTACCACCGTTAAGATTCTTAAACTTGTTCCAAGGTATTCTATTGCAAGTGAAATTTATTCTGATAATCAGAATTACTTTTGTATCCGGTCACTGATGTAGTAATATCAAAATTATTTCTTGCAGATCAGATTTTATAATTTTTTTGGAATTTGACTAATCATCATTACTAGAAATATATTTTTGCCTAATCACAGGCAGTTTTCGAAAGCAAACAGAACTGTTGATTTTAAATCTTCTTTCCGCTTGCAATACAGTAACAATTAACAAGCAATTGTTTACCTGTAGCTAAATCTTTCACATCGATTGGCTAGTCTGTTGTAAAACAACAAAATTTTTGTCTTGTAGCCAGGGTCTAGTAATAACTGGTTAAAAACGAATTTCTGGAATTGCCTTAACCGTATATCCCACATTAACAGGCTTTGAAGCTGTCGGCAAACATTTCGCTTCTTGGTCCTTTTATGTCGACCATTTCAGTGGGTGAGAACAAATTAATTGCAGAAATTGTTGAGTACGCCAACATAAGGTCCGGGATTTGTGACGGAAGAGCGGGCGTTCTTGTTTGAACTGATTTAGGTCTCAGATAATTTGAGTGAGTGAATTCATAAAAGTTTGTTGGATCAGTTGAAGTGACCAAACAGTTGAGTTGCTTTTGGTATTCTCTTAATATTGTAGTCATCAAGTCAAATGTAATGACTGCTGGTGAGTTCTTTGGCAAACTTTCGGTGGTAAGCACACAGCCCACGTACACTCCATTGCTTGTGCGCTTACAGATGAGGCCCTTTTTACCATCATCATAGTTATCATTAACAATGAAAGCATTGTTAAAGAAACATTAATGCGAATTCTTGTTGTTTCAAACTTGCACTTAAATAAATGATAATAAAAATCGGATCAAATGATACTTTGACCAAAGTCACGATAACATAATTCGTTACTTACAAGCCAGAATTTTCAACCATTAGATTCTGCAAGCCAAAATAACAAAGTAATTTGCAGAAGAATTCTCCACTTGTCTTGAATAGCAGAGAA